GGTACCACCAAAAAAGAAAGAAAAGAATTCCAAATCATTTCTGTAATAATTCTGCTCTCAAGGAGGTAGAATGTAACTCCTTCTATGTACGGACTGTGACTAGTGAGTTCTTTCCAAACAGCATAGTATGCAAGGCAGGGAAAAGTGACTTTATAGTGGAGAGACCTAGCAAATAGTGCCTCAGTCAGTGATGAAGGTTTTGTCTATCACAGTAAGCTGTGTTGACAGTCTGTCCTAGTGATACCATGGTGATCTTCCTCCCCAAACCCATCACTCAGCCTAATTGTGAGAAAAATATTAGACAAATCCCATCTGAGAGGCATTCCACAAAATCACTGACCAGTCCCCCTGAAAACAATCAAGGTCATCAAAGAAAATCTCAGCCCAGAGGAGCCCAAGCAAACATCACTAACAAATGTAATGTGATATCTGGGATGGAATCCGGGGACAGGAAAAGCACATTGCATAAAAACTAAGGAAGTCTGAACAGAGTAGAGACTAATTGAACCTATCTCCCAGAACTCCATGCAGAGGCAGAAGGATCACATATGCCAGGCGAGCCTGGGCCACAGAGCAGGACCCTGTCCCACAGAGCAAGACCCTGTCCCAAAAGACCCCACCCCCAAATAACTTACCAATATTGGTTTGCCAACTGTAGAAAAGTGTGGCACACTAGTCTAAGTAGAGTAAACTGTGTGTAGAATATGTGGGAACTCTCTGTATGACCTTTGCAGTTTCCCTGGAAATCTAAAACTGTTCTAAAATAAAAGCTTATTAAAAATACAATTGAAAGGGGGGAGAAATGACCCAAACATTGTATGCATATGTGAACTAAAATAAAAATTTTAAAAAAATACAATTGAAATTTTTAAAAAAATGCTTAAGATCTTAGCCTCTCCAAAAAAAAAAAAAACCTCAAAAAAGAGCTTAGCCTCTTCTGAATGGAAAGTATGGAAAACAGCTGTTTAAAATGACTTATTCCTGTGTTTCTCAGGCTGAATTCAATCCTCTTTGAGCAAGAGTATTTGAGAAGGTAGTGGTTATGCCTCAGACTAGTTAATATCACAACCTATTTGGTCACTAACTGGTTGTGTGACTTAGTATACTAAATCTATGCAAATTCAGCCTCAATGTAAATGAGGACCATCCTCCTGAATATCGCAACTGTCTTTCTGAATATTGCAGTACTGATGAAACTGAAAGCCGGGGAAGCTGTAAAAAAGTCCAAAGTGGAAGCTCCAGTTCTTCCTTACGTGCCGGGTGCAATATAGGACTAAATGCTTTGTCAGCACTTCTCTCTCATGCAGGGTCCACTCCTTTCTTCAATGACAATTCCCTTCCTTTAACTACAAGTCATTTCTCCACGTGTCCTAAGTCACTTCTCCCACTTTTTTGTTTATTAAGAGAAACTAAATACATGAACCAAAGAAGGCATCTGTAACCCTAGAATTGAGCAAAGGGCTTTGTTCTTGTAAAGCTTAAAGAACAGGTTTGGCTTTAGAAGTTTGAGAAAGGAATGAAAGTAGTGCAGGAAGGGCTCATGGATGACAGCAAGGAGTCACAGTGGTAGGAAGAAGCATAGTGACTGAAAGAGAGATGTCACTGAATGGTTCAGAATCTACCTGAGAAAAGACCAGAGAGCTTCTCAAACTACCCAGCCCAAACCGTTTCTTCAGCCTGCAGGTGAGCCTGCCACCCTGTCAATCAGCCTGGCACCCCACCTTTAAATCTGAGCACCATATTTAAAGAGGGATATGAAGGCCAGCTGCAGTGGTTCATGCCTTAAATTCCAGCTGCTTAAGAGACGGAAATTGGGAGGATTGAGGTAAAAAGTGAGCAAGACCCTATGTCAACAAATAAGCCAGGTGTGGGTGTGCACTTGTAATCCCAGATTCATGGGAGGCCATTGGCAGGAGGCCAACTAGGAATATCTCAGTTCAAAGCTGGCCCCAGGCAAAAACTAGAGACCTTATCCTGAAAATAACTGATACAAAAATGAGCTGGTGGCATGGCTCAAGTAATGGAGTGCCAGTCCATGAATGGTAGAGGGACATGGAGCTAAGACAGCTGTAGGACAAGGCAGGACTGCTCTCCTCAAATTCTTGGAGGACAGAGCTCATCAGCCAGACTTGGTCACCTGGGAAAGTCACAGCCTTTCTCTCCTCTTCCACTTGTAAATACATGAGAGGCCACCAGGGCCACCAAACTGGGCCAATTCTGTTTCATTTCATCTGGCTACCCAGGGTTCTTCAGGATTTCAATAAGCCAACTTGTCTTTCAGGAAATAAAAGACAAATGCTTACCTTCAATGGATGAGAATTTAAGACCAGAGCATTAGAACATAAAAAGGAATAAATTATCAATGGAAGCTAAACTGGGTGAACTTTGAAAGCACTGTGCTGTGTGAAGGAAGCCAGGCCACATGCTATGTGATCCATTCATGTGAAAGTCCAGAGCAGGGACATCAGAGACAAAGCAGATCTGCAGGCTGGAGAGGAGGAATAAGGGGAGCTATGTAAAGCTTTCTGAAGTGATGAAATTTTTCTAAAATTGACTGTGATGACAGTTGCACATATCTGTAAAGACACTAAAAGCCATGGAACAGCACACTTGAAATGGATGAGCTGTACGGGGTGTAATAGATCATAATAAAGCTGTTTTAAAAATAGAGGGGGACCTGGCATGATGAGGCACATCTGTGATCCAGCTACTTCAGAGCCAGAGGTGAGGAGGATGAAAGTTTGAGGCACACTGGAGCAAAGCACAGGACCCTATCTATCTGAAGAACAAATAAAAAGAAAAAGGACTGGGGTTGTAGATGGCTTGCCTAGCAAGTGAGAGTTCCTGAGTTTAATTTCCAGTACTGCAAAACCAAACAAAAAACAATAGAGAGAGAAACCATAGGGAAGGGTAGCCTAGATGACTCTTGAGCCTACAGCATCTTGGCAAGAGGTGTAATTTCCCCACTCTGACCTGCTCCCATGGGTCCTTGTATCTCCTGACCTCATGGAGCCCCAGAGACCCCAGGGGCCCAGTTCCAACTTACAGCACCTAGCATGTTGTCTGACTGCAGAGGACGCTGACAACAAGAGGGTTTGACAGCTATAACCATTAGCCCACCCGTTAGCCCAGTGGCCAATGGGCCAGGGTCCTCAGCAGAACCTCTCTCTGCCCTCCCAGCCCCTTTACCCACACCCACCTGAGCCAGCACACCACACACTGGCCTCTGCCCTCTGCCCTCCAGCTGGTGTTCCTAGACAGAGCACCCATGGCCTCTTCCAGCCACGAAAGAAGGCAGGAGCTCCACGAATTCGTCCTTCTCCCCAACCTCTCACCTGCCAGCACCATTAATTGTTCCCTGCTCTTTGGACACACTGTGTGGGACCCTTGCCTGGACCACTCTCCTCCACAGAGCCCCTCCTCTCCCTCTCCAGGTCTTAGCTCAAGTTTCCTTTTCTCCACAAGAACTCACCTGGCCACCGCATTTCAAATTTAGCCCCAATTCCCCTACCCCTCTCTGCTGTTTTTTGATATGTCATACCAAGTACTTTCCTTACTGTGGCCTGTCTTATCTGTGCCCTAAGCTCCATGGGCCTTGACTTTTGTCTGCTTGTTTACTGAACTCTGGACACCTAGAACAGTGAGAACAGTGCCTGGAAACGGTAGGCGTGTGATAAGCCTTTGACGATGAATGAGCTGCCTCCAGAGCACTCTGCTTCAGCTGTCAAATGGAGTGGTGGAGCCTCTTATTACTGGGGCACTTGTTCACAATACAGCTTTTCCTAGCCTTCAGAGCCCAGCTAGGGAGCCAAGAAGCTGAGAACCACCCCCTTAAGAAATGAGACTGCGTAATCAAAGCTAACAGAACTGTCACCCTTGTCCTTTGTTACCCCTACTTCCAAAGCACCATAACCAGGCTAGACCTCAGCAGATCTGGAGAGAGCTGGCGCTTCATTCTAGCATCCGCTCCATCCTCCAAAAACAGCGCCTTCTCCCAGCCCACTGCATGACCTTTCTCAAGAGGTCTTGGCAACGTGTTCTCATGTTCTCTCTTCTAAAACGCCCTAAGCTGGGCTGGAAATACAAGAACATCACCTGAAAGCTTGATACTCTATCGCTTCTCATCTAGGAATTCCCTGTTTACTCACTGTTTTCCTTCACAAGACCATAACTCCTGGAGAACAGAGACGGGGTTGAGAACACAAGCCAATGTCCACTGCAGTGCACGGTCAGGACTCATTAGTTGCCTCTGATCATTATCCTATCGTGTGGTTTGTCCTGGATCAGGGAATGAACAACTTGGCAAGTGTAGTAAGCACCCAGGAACCAGAAAGGAGCCCTGGCACCTTCTGCTGGGTCAATTTACACAATGAACTCCAACTTTCCCCAGTCCCTGAAGTTCTGCAAAGGACATAGGAAACCTCAAGTTAAAGGAAGAGTGCTCTTAGATTCCTAGCAAAATTCTAGAGGAAAAATGCCTGGAACTGGTGGAAGGGGGCTTGGGAAGCTGGCCCAAGGACTCCTCAGATCTCTCGGAGATCTCTCACCAAGGACTGTCTGAGCGCCCCCTGTCGGTGGAGGAGACCCTAAGAGACGATTTGGCCGGCAGAGACAAGTCTGCCCTCCACCTCCCCCCAACTAGTCTGGGGGTTCACAGACTTGGAGAAACAGAGGAACGACCCTCAGAAGAGGAACAGCCAGAACTGAAGGAGAAAAGGAGACTCAGAAGCCAGAGATGGGGTGGGAGTCAGGCAAGCTGGAAGGGGCTAGGATGGGGCAGACAGGGAAGGGACTGAGAAGGGGCTGCAAGTCTGCAGGGGAGGTTTGGGACCAGGCACAGAGCAAATACCAGCAAGTACACAAGATCCCCGCACTGACCCCACAAACAGAAGACATGGGAGGAGCGCAGTCCGGGGGTTGCGGGTGGGCGCGAGAGGCGGCCCGGGGACCAGAAGCGCGAGAGGGGAGGCTCCGGGGAGGCCGGTGCCCTGCCTACCCACCTGAGGCTGCCATGCCGCGAACACGGCTCACATCCCCGGCTCGCAAGTGCCGGTGCCTGGGCGGCAGGGGGGCCCGGCTCCGTGCTGGACCGGCTGCTGTCTGGCGCTTCCTCCCGGCGGGCGGCCAGGACTCCCCGGGAGGGCGTGTCCCCAGCGTCTGCCCCGCCTGCGCCTCGGCCGGGCCCGGGCACCTGCACCCCAGCCGTTGGGGAGGGGAAGTGAGAGCCCCATGCGGACCAGACGCTGGCCAGCCCCCCGAAGGCTCCCCTCGGGGTAGCGGGAAGCAGGGGGGACTTCGCGCCACGTGCGTCCCACACTGGGTGGAAACAGGCCTGATTCCTGATCGGCCACCTAAGGACAGCCCGAGGTGGGAGGACTTGGGGAGGGGAGGAAGGACAAGGTAGGGCTGACCGATCTTTTGGACCTGGTTGGGGGCGGGGGGGCTTGCCTAGGACCACCAGCTGTCCAAGCCACCTCCCCATCCCCTGGGGTTTGTCCCTGAGTCGCTGCCCCCTCAGGAAAGGGGAGGGGTCAGGAAGGGGAAGACAAGGCAGCTGGCCCTGGGGATTTGGTGTTGCCCTTGAGTGCCCTTCTGTGACCTTCTGCAATTCCTTGGATCTGGTCTCCTAACCACCCACGACTGTTAATTTTAATCTCATACGATAAATATTAGTTATTACTGCTGCTTATGATGCTGGTGCACACAGGGCTGGGCATCAAATGCCTTACACACAGAACCCTTCCAAGTAGCCCCTGTGGCCTTCTTCAGCCCAATTCCTGGCTCAGACTTTCAGAGAATAAACACTCCCAGAGGCTCAATACCTGGCCTGTGATCCCAGAGCCAGGGCCCTGCTCCTTCTCCCGCTCACTTGCTCCTTCTCATTCTGCTTCCTTGACAGCTCCTGTAAACAGATCTGAATGCCACACGACCATGGTGTCCTCGCCAATCCCGAATCCAGACAATGGACCCTGACAGCAGAGATGAGAGTAGGTTAGGGCTCAATGAAAAGGATTTAATAATGCAAATAGCAGAACGAAGTTGAGAGTTAGTTTTCTACTGTTGCTATAATAAATTACTACAAATCCAGCAGCTCAAAACAACACAACTTATGATCTTACATTTCTATAGTTCAGTACATCACACAAGACTCACTGGACTAAAATCAAGGTTCTAGCAGGGTTCGGTTCCTTTCTGCCAAAGAATAGAATCTACTTTCTTTGCATTTTCAGCTTCTAAAAGCCCCCCACATTCCTTGGGTCCTGGGCCTCTTCCTCCATCTTCAAAGCTAGCGAGTATAACATCTCTCTGGCCCTGCTTCTGTCATCACATCTTTCTTTGGCTCTCCTGCCTTACCTCTTCTACTTTTAAGGAGTACATTGGGCCCACCCAGATAGTCCAGGAAAATGCATTTAAAGTAACTGTGCATGACAGCTGTGACAGTGTATGATAAGGGGCAGAGCCCAGGGACATCCTGAACATGGAGATTTAATTTAACTTAATTTAATTTGCCTTTAAAGGTCTGCTGATAGCAACCTCAATGTCATCTACAACTTTAATTCTTTGCTCTGTAACATACCATGTTCTCAGGTTCTAAGTTCCAGGTCAAGGACGTCTTTGGGGACCCATTACTCTGCCTACCCCAGGCCAGTGACATAACACAGCGATGAGCTAGCTGCCTGCTATTCCTTATTCCCATGTTCGCGATGTCCCTGGGCTCTGTCCCTTATCATACACTGTCACAGCTGTCATGCACAGTTACTTTAATTTGTGACTTCTTTATTCAACTAAAAGCCCCTCAAAGGCAAGATCTATGTCTGTCCTTACCATGGAACCTCTAGGACTTGGAGCCAACCCTGGACAGAGAATATACTCAGAGTATTTGTGGAATGAGAGAATGAATGAACACAACCAGGAAGTTCTTAAATTGGAGGTCCAGAGGTAAAAGGGATTTCTCAGACACTGAAAATTGTGGAACCCTAAGGCTACAGGAAGGTACTATAAGATGTCAAAGACAGGCCAGATAGAAAGACAGGATAGTGATGAGTTTGGAATGCAGTGTTTGAGGGGCCTGTGGGATGTCCCAGGGAGATTCTGTCATTGCAGAAAAGAGAATGGGAGCTTAGGGCCTGGACAAGGATGCTACACTTGGAGTTGAAGCCCATGAGTGGATGGGGGAGGGGCTAACAACCAACCAGGCTTCAAGGGCAAAGCCAAGGCGAAGAGGGCCCAGAAAGGAGCACTTTGAGGTGAAGGTTGTCAGTCATGAGGATCGCTGTGAGGGTCTGGAGGAATGCTATTGGATATAAAAACAAAAGGCCACAAGTCACAGTAACATCAGGAGTCCAGGCTGGCAGTGGAAGAGGGATGGATGGTAAGGAAGGCAGCTTGGAGCAGGCACAGAGATCCTGAATGAAAGACAGGGGGCCCCGATTCTTACCTTATCCCTTACCTACCGTGGCGCCTCCAACAAGCTGTAACTTCAAAAGCCCCCTACTTTTCACTCTTGCAGTGAGGGCATCCCAGCTCAGACAATGCCAGAGCTCATCAAACACTGGCCCTCAGACTCTACCCTCTTCCTAAAGCCTCCCTCCATCTGCACAGGTCTCGGAACCTGGCCAATCTCTGCTTCTCATTGGAATCATTTCCACCAGAGTGCATTCGAGGCCGACTCTCTGATCTCCCCACTGTTCAAATGCATGGTCCTCCCTTCTGGCTTTGGATACTAAGGCATGGGGGAGAAGCTGGGCACCTAGCTATTTGAGAGGTTGAGAGCAGGAAGATTGTGGTTTGAGACATCTAGGTGCAGTAGTGTGCACCTGTCATCCCAAGTTATGCGAGAGGATGAGATCAGAAAAATAATGATTCCAAACCAATCCAAACAAAAAAAAAAAAGGTTGTGAGACCCCATCTCACAAGGGCAAGATGTCATGTTCCTGCCATCCCAGCGATGGTGGGAAGCTTAAAATAAGAGGCCGACATAGACAAAAATTGAGACCCTATCTCCAAAAGAACCAGAGCAAAAACGGCTGTAGGCATGGCTCAAGCAGTAGAGCACCTGCCTCACAAAGTACAAACAGGCGATACTCCCTGAGTGAAAAGACATTCTAGTCTCTAACGCAATCCACCCTGTCTCTTTGTACAGCAGCTGGACCGGGTTGGGGGGAAGTTGTTCTGCCTGGTTTTGCACCTCTCTTTGGCAATACTGAATGTGGGACCAGGGGAGGGGTGCAGGTGCCTTCAGGTGGTTCCACCAAATGGGCTTGAAGAAGGATGGAGAACCCAGACTTGGCTGTGGCCCTACAGTCCTGTTCGCATGGTAGATAGAAGGAGCTGGAGAGGCAAATGTGTTTCACCTAAGGAACAGAAGGGTAGGAAGGGCAGAAGAAATCCTTGTTGCTTACATCCTCAGGATGTTATTTTATGATCTCTCAGACCTAAGGACCAGAATCTTTTCCTGGCATGTCAAAGTCTCACTTGCTGGGACAAAAGGTGGTGCTGGAGGTGTGCTCCAGCAGATGCTCTTAAGCCATCCTAATTTCTTAGCTGTCCTATGAGAAAGGTACTAATAGTATATTCACCTTGAAGACAAAGATGTTAAGTAGGCTAGTTATGGTAGTGCATCTCTGTAATCCCAGCTATCCAGGAGGCAGAGATCCAGAGAATCACGGTTTGAGGTCAACCCGTGTAAAAAGTTAGTGAGATCCCCATCTCAACAAACAGCTGGGTGTGGTGGTAACGTCTGTAATCCCAGCTATACTGAAGACATAGGTAGAAAGATTGAAGTCTGAGGCTGATCTCTGGCAAAAAACAGGAGATCCTATCTGAAAAATAACTAAAAGCAAAAAGGTCTGGAGCATGCCTCAAATGGCAGGGCACTTGCCTAGCAAGCATGAAGCCCTGAGTTCAAACCCCAGTACTGCCAAAAACAAAAGAAGTTAAATAACTTCTGCCCCAGGGCACACTGTTAGTGATTGCGGAGCTGTTTGAACCCAGCCAGGGTGACTCCAGAGCCTTTGCACAGTAGATTAGGTATAAATGTGTAGCTGGCCCTTGTGGGGTCTGAAGAGCCTCCTCAGTGCAGATGGCAGGACAGAACCTCCCTGCGAGTTCCCCTTCCTCTGCCAGAATCACCCCTCTTTCTGAAAACACTAACATCACACCTTCCTGCCTGCCCACCTCCTTGTTGGTACCCCAACACTGTGACTCCTTCACCCTCCCTCTCCAGTGCCTAGCACAGGGCTCAGCACATAGTGGGACTTCAACAGCACTGACTTTTAGAGGGGTTTTGGTTATTTTTGGTTTTTTTTTTTTTTTTTTAGGTACTGGGGCTTGAACTCAGGGCCTTCGTATAGAGCCATTCCACCAGCCTTTTTTTGATGGGTTTTTTTGAGATAGGGTCTTTTGAACTATTTGCCCAGGCTGGCTTCGAACTGCCATCCTCCTCATCTCTGCCTCCTCAGCAGCTGGGATTACAGGCATGAGTCACCGGCGCCTGACTACTTTTGTTTTTAAGTCACCAAGTCCAAGCTGCTCACTTTACAGATGAAGATGCTACTGTGAAGTTAAGTGGTCCACCAGGTCCCATCACCTTCATTGATAGCCTGGTTCTTCACTGTGTTCAACCCGAGGCCAAGTAGACTGGAATATGTTCATATGGACAGGGTGGAGAGACAGGACAGTGGGGCAGGCAGTGGGCCAGCATGGGTGCATTGGGGGACCACAGGGGCCTGGTTTTGCTTGGCAGACACCCTGGCTGTATGAAGTCTGCTGGCCCTCTCTACCTCCTCCAGATACTTTCAGTCCAACCCAGCAGGCCATGGAATTAAAACCCAATGCAAGCAACCTGGGGACACTAGCTTTTTAGGAGAAAATAACTTTGCACATGAAATCTAGAAGCCAATCCTCTTGCAAGAATGTGGCCCTGCCGGGTGCCAGTGGCTCACGCCTGTAATCCTAGCTATTCAGGAGGCAGAGATCAGGAGGATCAATTTGCCCAGGCAAACAGTTTGCAAGACCCTATCTCAAAAAACCCTTCACAAAAATAGGACTGGTGGAGTGGCTCAAGGTGAAGGCCCTGAGTCAAGCCCCAGT